TGCCTGGCCGCAGGGTGTATCATTACCCTCTCTCGTCCGGGCGGTAGAAAGGAGCCCTCAGCCAGAGCAGCAGCAGCAGCCAACAAGCTGACTGTTACTATCTGTATACTATGCCGCCTAAACATAATTTCAGCCAATCAGCGTCGTCAGATCTGATGCTCAAAGGGCGCCGTGTTCTGTGAGTTGTTTGGACTCATATTCAAGGTGACGCTACAGTAGTTGTCGAGGATGGCTAGTGGATCGCCGGAGCTGTAGATTAACATTTACATGCTTATTGTAGTTGTAAGGCAATGTCTGTAGCACCATGGAGCATATGTGTGGGCTGGACCTGTATTTTACAGGAAAGGAGTGAGCAGAGGGTGGAGTTGTCGATTCTTGTTCAGTTTTCATCTTCCTCACCCTCTCAAACTTTGAGTTGCGCGCGCTGCTAAAGAGACGCGCTACCATGGAAACCAAACAATGGTGTAGCTGTATTAAAGTCCGAGTGGAAACAGTCGTGAGTAAATCTGATTTTGTCAGAAATCGGGAGAAATATGACCCCGGGAGGAAACCGGGGAGAGGGCAATTAAATCGGGAGTCTCCCGCGAAAATCGGGAGGGTTGGCAAGTATGAGTCGACACACACACACACACACACACACACACACACACACACACACACACACACACACACACACACACACACACACACACACACACACACACACACACACACACACACACACACACACACACACACACACACATACTGTTCGTATTTAGTCTCCTGATTTTAAATGGGAATTAAATCATTTGAGTGTTCCCAAAGCACCAGTGTTCTGCAGTTTGTGTGGGCCTAGTACTGTTGCACAGTTTTGGAAGATTCATAGCTAACCACACTGAAGATTATGGATTATCTCATATTTTTAAGAGTCAATTTGTCCTCCCCTCACCCTCTAACATCACCAGATAATTTAAGGGGTCATTTCTCAAAAATGGACCGCCTTAGTATGGTTTGGTCCCTATTTCCATAGCCCCACTAAAAATATTTTCCACCAGCCGCCACGTGCATAGGGTAGATTCATTTAATTACATTTCCTTTTTTTTTTGGTGTATTTTTTACATTTTGGATTTGCTTGGCGAGCTACTTATTGAGGGCTTGCGAGCTAGCGGTCGACGTGTTGGAGACCCCTGCTTTAGGCTGGAGCCACACGAGGACGATAACGCAAACGGACTGAAATCGATATCAAAAAAGTCTTCCGTCCATAAAAGGGGTGCTCCGCCTATATGGGCAACTCTCCACCTATCAGGGAAATGAGAGACCGCTCGAAAGCGCTGGAGAGGCTGTAGTACATATGCCAGGCCTGTAAGTGGCACTGTAGTCTTCCACAAAAGCAGAATCAGCCCCCTGCAAAAACAGGGCTGGAAAAGAGCAAATAGAGCGAAATGAGGCATGGCTAAAATGCATGATCTGTTTGGTATTTTGAAAAAAAAACTTCACAGACATGTTTTATATAGGTATGGCCCTACAATATATGTTTCAAATATAGCATGATAGGTCCACTTTAAGATCTGCCCACTCCCCTTTTCTCAATACATCATAAAATATATTTTGTATTTAAAGCTTAATGTGTATGCTATACAACCCACACACTTGCACATGTTGATAGTGAGACTATAATAGTAACATGAGGACTATGATACTGTCATTTAAAACTAGAATTGGTTGACATTTGCAATTTTTAACATCTGACTACTATTTGGGGATGTATAGGATGCTGGTGTTGGCTTTGTTAGTCTTCTTTATCATTCATTTTTTTGTTTCTTCCCCCCCAGCACTGTCCTGTGTGGTGAGCGAGTGGACAGCATGGTCAGGCTGTGCTGAGCCCTGCAGGGCCACAGTCCGCAGGCGGAGCAGGGCCATCCTGCAGGGGCCCCTCAATGCAGGAACACCCTGTCCTCACCTGGAGGAGCACGCCGGCTGCGCAGAGTACTGGTCTCAGCAGGGGAACTGTCCCAACCCACCTGGTGAGAAAAACGCACCCGGATCCTAACACACATCCATGTGATCAACTCATTTAAGGTGTTTACCTACAAAGACATTACATACAAAATATGGCTGGCCTTATAAAAGGTCACTTAGGTAAAGGTGGGGTAGGTCATTTTGGAGAAACCAGCTCGAGTGCGCTAGAATTTGAAAATACACAGCTGGAAAAAATCTGCCACTTCCTTACAGAGCCCCTCCTCCAACACACACGAACGCGCACATGACCAATGAGGGCACAAGATAAGTTTGTGCACAGATGGAAGGCTGACAGGCAGGTAGGCCACCCAGTTATTTTAGGCGGGCCGGCTAAAATGATTGGTCGTGCTTTTTACAGTACTACGGCTTCCACAGATGACATTTTTTTATGGATTTTTTGTCAAAGCACTTCAAGATATTCATTGCTATCGGGATGTTAAGAGCATTCCATGGAATATAACAAAAAGTGTATCTCGAGCCGGTTTCTCAAACTTACCTACCCCACCTTTAGGTAATTATTTATTATTCTAGTGGAATTAGTATGATGGATTGCGACCCATTTATTGATAACTTACCTGTGAAAGACATGTTAGTGAACTACTGAAAACCACAACTAAATATCCCTTCATACAAAAAGGTCACGCTGTTTTTTCATTCAATTAAAAGTCACATGCAGAAACATTGGCTTTAAAAGAGTATATATATATATGGCAACAGTAGATATAAGACACTTCAATTTAAACTAATAAAAGTTATTTTAATCCAATTGTGCACATGACCAAAGAGGGCATTTGGCTAGTCTTTCATAATTTAACCAATATGTCATTATAGTTGCTGCAGTAGCACAGAGATTCTTATTTTGACAACTATTGTGGAGAGAAACGCCTTCAAGCAGACCATTAATTCACACTGGAATTAAGAAACCAGAGCCTTGTTCTATTTACCTCGATTTTTACAACTGTACAAAATGTTGCTATTGTTGTCTGTTTCACTGTAAAAGAGCAATGGGGTTGCTGATGCATGGAGTCTCCATGGTGTAGTAGTAAAACAGCAGTATGATTTGTAGCTCTCTACTAAATATCTGATATTGCCCATAAGCGAAGCTGTTTCTCAAAGTGTTCCAGGTTGTTCCACACCAGGGAGTTCTAATATACTTTATCAACAGTTTCCTGGCATTTGCTCATTTTAAATGTATGAGCTACCGTAACATACTGTCACATGTAATGTTATCCTGCATGCTTCCTCTGCAGTCCCAGCATTGATTATCTCTGGTGGCTATGGCAACGCCAGGAAGAAAAGAGACATCCCTGACAGCAGTGACATCACAGGGTAACACGACCAGAGACTTTTAGAATTTGATATGTTCTCATGTGTCGTCAACATGTATGTATTTGAGTTTGGTTTGTGTGTGTGTGTGTGTGTGTGTGTGTGTGTGTGTGTGTGTGTGTGTGTGTGTGTGTGTGTGTGTGTGTGTGTGTGTGTGTGTGTGTGTGTGTGTGTGTGTGTGTGTGTGTGTGTGTGTAAAATAGGTATTGTGTCCAGTTTCAGTTGACCTCTCTGACTAAAGGGTGCCAGCAGAGCTCGGGCCCACACACTCAGTGGATGCAGCACCTGAGGGAGGGGCACCGTGTGTGTGTCGAGTGCCAGCCGCCCGCTCTCTCTGCTGAACAGACACACTGTGCCGGAGATGGAGAGGAAGACGACGGGGGAAGGTAAGAATGGATTAGATTACTAAAATGTTTCTTGGATGAAAGCATTGCTTTCTCCATGATTACAAATGGAGAAAAAGAGCAGAAGTTATTCTTCTTTGAATTCAGAATTCACACATTCAAGCCTTTGTTGTTCTGGAAATGTTAATGACCAGAAGAGAAAGATAAAGTGTCTCTGCCAAGGTGTCATCCAACCACGAAATGAGCTTGAATTTAATTTGGCTAGTTAGTAAAGAAACTAAGTGTTGGACAAAACTTCACTATTAAAGGTCACCTTTCCTTATCACCAAAGGCAAATTGGCAAAGAAAAATTAGAGCGCAGTTGCTGTTATTTTTCACATTATAAAAGCTTCACCTGCCATTAGGTAATCAATTTACACACAAATGTTTATTAGCCTTTTTGCCAAGTAAGTTTGAAACTTGCCTTAGATGGATGTGTTGACTTTTCTTCACATCCTGGTCTTTGTGCACGAAGAAAAACTGCTCCATAGCGCTACTAGAACCTTAACCCAAAAAACACATTCAACCAAACTTGAACCCTCACCATATCATCAAGATAAACAATTCAAACTCCAGAAGATCCTGGCCACGGTATCTGCAAAAATCAAGCATGTATTCTGAAACGAGGTGCAGTGGTGGATAGAGTACAGATATGCGGATCATTTGTGACAGTGCAGCCTGGGCCGGATTGTTTTTCCTCGCAGAACCCTGGACAAATGGTCTTCACCTACAGTGTATCTCTTTGATCCGATTGGTAACAATGAGGACTACCACTAGATGGCATCATTGTTTATCACTTGGATTTAAAGTGTAATTGTGTGACCACTAACTGATTCCTCCCCTCATCCTTGGTGCAGAAGACAGTCACACCAGTGGCAGGCGGTGGGAAACCCTCGATGCAGGGGTGTGTGGAGGCGTGTGGGGAGGATGGAGGCCTGCTCCTGCCCAACAGCCCACAGCTTCCTCTTTATATAACATCCTCCTCCCCTCTGTTATCCTGTACACATCTTCTCAGGCTCATGTATAAAGAACAATCTGCCAGAATAATAAACCGGTCCTGTTAAAGAGTTCTGGTCAATGCTCAGGTGTGCCTTCTTCTCCAGATGAGTGCAACTTCATGTAGATGTTTTATTAAAATGGCTGTGCCGATGAAAATTGCTAATTCGAATCAGAATCCAATGCATTTGTTGTCCTGACTGCTCAACAAAGATTTTAATAAAACACATTTTTATTTTAGTTTGCATCAACAACAGCAAATTAAAAGCAAAAAAAGAAAGTCAGAAATCCTAATCAAAATGTAAAGTGATCTGATTTATTTCATTCAAGGGAAATGTTGCTTTTGTTGAGAAATAGAACTATCTTGGGACATTGAGACACTTTTTTAACATGACAAGTACTGGTTCTGTGTGAATCACAACCAGTCACAACGCCAAAGGTACAACATGCACAGAACAATAAAACATTGATACAGAAACAACAGCATAGAAAGTCAACACGTACAAATGTTTTTTCTTTTTTTGTACAAAACAGACAGCCTCGGGACCTACAAAGAACATTGTATAAGAGCTGGCTAAGGTCTTTCAAATATATTTTTTCACTTCCCTGGAAACAGTGTACTTTACAAAGACTGATGGCTTAGGCAAGGTTGGGGTCAATTCCACTGAGAGCTTAAAACATTGAAAAAATATAGATGATGTTTTAGTTTGTATTTTAGTATGTTTTTATTTACCTCATGCTCTAATACTGGTTCCTTTTACAGTGTAATATGTTATTTGTGTTTTACTTAATCAAGGCATTCTGAATAGACCCCAACCCTGTAATACAGTGTTAGATTCAGAGTAAATTGGGCTACTTGCTAAAGCAGTGGATCTCACTGGGTTTTAGAAACTACCACATGTCCTTGAAAAGGGTCCTATGGGGTTCTAACCAAAAAACCGACTTGAACCTTTTCACACATTTAGCAGCTAGAGCGACAACCAAGTTCTATTGTAAGTTAACTTACGTAAACTAAATGCATTCACTGTACAGTTGGGAGTCTTGTTATGGAAAAGTTAATGAATCTGTGCTCTTTTTCTTAGTTTGTATCAATAAATGAGAAATAAATAACTTGATTGTGTTTTCTTCATCAAGAATAATGGCTTAGTATGAATTTCTCTGTAGTGATATCAGTGAAATAAAAATCCCTTTTAGATTAAAATAAAAACAAGAATGAACATAAGAAAATGCATTTAAAGAATGACCAAATCAATATGTTCTTGTATTATGGTGGTATTATGTCACAGTATCGCAGTCTAGTATGAAATCACAACATCATGCTTGATGTTTCTTTTGCACTAGTCTAAAAACGTAAGAGTATCAATACCAGTGTAAGGATTTAAGCACTTGCTTTGTGTTGATGCACATGGGTGCACTATTGTGTAATATCTTCCCATAATAAATCTCAGTTCTCCACAATAGTACTTGCTATCTATTTATGAAATATTGATTGTCATCATTGTTTAGAGATATTTCAGTGAAACATGGTCCCTGACTGCCATAATAGAAAACCTAAATGATGCGACAGGTGCTCATAGGATTCTTCATGAGAGGTTATGTGATCTGAATGCCCTTTATCGTAGCGTTGAAAATGAAACTTAATCATTAATTTTTTGTAATGATGTAATGAGCTTATTTGACTACTTATTTTTAAATCCACAATGAAATTTAGGTGAGACTGGGTTACAGATATTTGCATGCATTGGCCTTGACTTTCATAAGATAAAGACACATATCTAATGGAGCTTACATGAAGCGGGTCGGTACTCCAAATGTGTGTTAAGACTGGTTTTGTCTAACCAAAATGAAATGAAATATAATAGACTAAGCTTGCATTTAATGTAATTTCATATAATTGAAGTTGCCAATTCCACCTTGCAATGGGATATGGAGAATTATACACATTTATGTGAAAAGACATACAGTAATGTACAAATATAATCAACGGAACAGCCATTCACAACACGTTTTTAGGGAGACATTCAAAACTGATTCACTCTGAATTTCACCAAAGGCCATCTGGAAAGTGTTAGATAGCTGCAGTCAATTGTTTTGCCATACGCCTTTTACTCAAATCAAATCCTTTCATTTGATAACACCATTTTGCAGACAATCAATTTTTTCTTTCAAAATATTTTCGATTGCCATTGTTTTCCTTTTCACCAAAAGGAAAAATTGTAAGAAAATGAATTAAACAAATATTTTGTATCATACATAGTGTATGCAGCTGCATTACATGAATTTATCAGCAGCTCAAACCATCAATCCTTGACTAATTATATGAAGTCACTTCTCAGCTTTAAATTAGGCTTCACTCCCTATAAAATCAAATGTGTGAGTAATCTCATATGATTAAGGTATAACCTGTGTTACTGCTGTATGTAAGAGTAAGAACTGCAGATAGAATATTTAGAGACAAGAAGCAGGATTCCCCCAACATGCATTCATTCACAAACAGTTCATTCCTTACTGCTCTAATGTTCTGGCTGTACAGCTGTCACACACACACATACACACACACACACACACACGGTTTTCTCTGCCTCTCACAGTCATTGTTATTCCCTCCACACCTCAGCTCCTTTCACTAACCGAGAGCAATATGAAATGGTTCAACTCTGTGATTAAAACGGAAAATAAATCAGGATTTGTGATTAGACTCTGGACAAAAACACTAAGAAATGCATGACGATCACCTTCTGTTGACTTTTGTATACAATTGTATACTCAACACCTACTTGTATTATAGAGCAATGTCCTATTTTATTTATATCTTCCACTACTATATTTAGGACAGGAAGCTTCTACAGTTTCCTCAGAGTTTTATTAGAGGGCTAATCTTGTTAAAGTTAGAGACAGTCATGTTGAGTTCTTGAGAAATGTTAAAGGCATTAAAAAAGGTTGTACCTTCATAGTTGAAATCATATTTGGGGCTGAGGGGGGAACAGTGGGTTGTTAACCCTTTATAGTTACCCTGCTCATGTAAGAATGGTCTATATACGGGGGTGAAGACAATATTAATAAATAAATAAATTCATATTTTTTAAGTCCAGGATTTTGGTTTAAATACAGCACTTTGTCCCTCTATATGTTGGTTTCTGGTTGTTATGTAAGACTGCTATGTGGAAATACAAACAGATAATAGACAATGCATTGTTGAGTTGTAGTATTTATGGAATACTATAGAGATTTAACACATGAACATAACAAGGCATCATAATGTTGCTTCAGTACTCATAAATATGCACAGTGAGAAGTGGCTCTGGTAACATGTGTCTACTGTGCATACCTGTCACTTTATTGGTACATGCCTGTGTGTGTGTGTTCATGTGTATGTGTTAAACAAACGTTAAATGCAATCAGACTTTCCCGCCCTAATTAACAAACCTTTGCTGAGCTGCAGCCACCCTTAAAAAAGGCTGCTGTCTCCATGGAAACTAAATGTATCGATGTATCCTGAAAATGGTTTTTCATGCCTGTATGAGTCATTAGTGTGTGTGTGTGCTCATGCATGAGTTTTATCAGGTCCGCATTTACAACTGACTTGCCTACAGTAACGTTAACCTGGCAGAGTATATTTAGTGCCATTAAAGTGTATTTGACGATTAAAGGAGCAAAGTAGAGATGGAATACACACATATTCCATTATCTGAGCGTGAATACATTAGATGCTTTTGTGTTGGTCAAAAGAAGGCCAATGCATGCTGAACATCTGCTCCTACTGTAAAGAAAAAACGATATTATTGGATTTTTATATATTTCATTTTCTAAAGCATCTCATGTTTTTGTATGTTGACTGGTTGGATGCATGCATGCTTCATAAATGTGCGCTTTATGCAGCAATCAAGCTTATTATCTCAGGCTCCTATGTTACCCCATATACAAAATGATTGGTCCACTACCACTACCATCCCTTAAAATCATACTGGGGTGCTAGGACAATATTCACTGGTCAATATTTGAAAGTATCATCCATTCTCACCATGTCATGATAGGGAATAGCAAAATACTGTTCAAGAAAGAGTGTTCAGTTGATGATGGGCTGGAGCTTTCGATAACTGCTGCTGTGCCAAGACATTTGACCTTACACAAGATTACTCTTCACGTATGAATATGACACAGCAGACTAGCAAATTACATATATTTATAAGGGACTTTCTATATAAAAATAAATCAGATAAGACAATCTCAAGAGTGTGTATCCATGAATTACCATTAGATCACCCATCAACATTCACACTAACTCACACACATGCACATATACCTTTACGGTATATGCAGACATGCACACCTCTACAAATGTAAATGACTAAGGCCAGTTTTGGGAATGGAGGGCACAAGTTAGTAGTTTATAGGCTTGTAGGTCCTCTCCTGTATCTCCAAGACTACAAAATGAACTGGGAATCAGTAATGGGATAGCCGGCAGCTTTATTTCCAGGATTTATTTCCTGGAGAGATAAGAGATATCCCCCTGCTGCTTAAACTCACCACATTTCTCTGTCGACTCTGATTCCACGGGTATCTCTGAACAGACCCGTAGGTTACCTGGGAGTGCTCTTTTGTTTTGTGTAACACCAGTAGTAGGAATGAGTTGAAGGAGGGGCAGTGACATTCTCCAATGTTGACGTTTTTTTTCTCCCAGAGTATTCACCACACCTGTTGACCCTGAGCGTAGTGCCTTATGGCATGCTCAGATAATTTGTGAAATGTTTTGGTGAGATCCTTTGTCTATTCCTCTTTGTCTCTGGATAAGATAGTGTTTTTAGTCTGTCCGATGTCTCCATCATAAACACTCTGCTCCAGCTCCCTGTTCCTTTCTGCTGCACTTGTGCCTCAGAGGCCTTTATCCAAAGTATGTTGACGCCCCCTGTCAACCTTTGGTCTACGTGCCATCTCAGGTCCTACATGATTCTCATGAACTACCCTACGAATTCCTTCATTCGGGAACAGACAGTTCTGGCCAAGCATTTTTTGGGCTGTTTCTAAATGGTTGGTGCCCTTCTGGTAATTGATGTTGATGCTGCGTTTTGGGCTTGAACCAGCCAAAAGACGCTCTGAAGGACTGGCTTCAGAGATGTCGCGGAGGTGCTCATCATCATCTGTATCGGCGTCGATGTATTTGCTAATGGAGGAGTCGTGGAAGGTGAAGACAGTTGCCGCCAGGGTCGTGCTCTCTGGGGACTTCGGTGGAGTTCTGCTGCTGGCGGTTGTGTAGACGGAAACTTCCGGGCTTAACAGAGAGTTGTCTGACTGGACTGAGCTGTCTGAGAGCGGGGACGGGCCTGACCCCCTATCGCTGCGACAGCCTCCTTTGGGTATAATGCTTTTTGAGGAGTTGCCAGGAAAAAAGAATCTCCGAGCATTTTCTGAGTATGAGGGTTTTGTGATGGGAGTCAACATGGGCTCACGCTCCCCAGTGATTTGTTGGCCTATTTTTGCGTTCCCATGCTGGGAAAAAGCTATAGCCGGACTGTGAGAGAACCTGTTGCTTTCCTGAAGACCAATGTCCATTGCTGGACTATGGTTGAAGCGTGGATTCTCCTGGAAGTCTGTAGCACAACTGATGTAGCTGTCAATGCTGGACAGGCTTTTCATGTCACCCACTCCTTCCCTGGTTCCTAGCACCGTTGGCCTGTGATCCTGGATGGCCCCCAATTCTATCTCGTCCCTCTGTTTGCCAGCTCTAGAGCCCCTGTCTTTAGCATTGAGGTTTGGCTGGGATTGTGTCTTGGCCATTTGGTTGTACATCTCCTCGAGCTTCTGAACATTTATCCTCTGAGGACTGGTGTCTCGGCCCTTGTCGGGAGAGCCTTCATGTGCATTAAAGGAACGGTTTGAGCTTGTCTCCGATGCAGCTCCTTTGGGAGTCCATTTCCAATGACTTGGAGAAAGATGGTTGTCATGAGGCCTCTCGCTCTTCTCTACCACCACATCCATTAATTCTGCACTACGAGCAAATGCCTCTTTTAAGTTCATTGAGACAATGCTACCATTTCTCTTTGCTCTCTCTAGGGCCTCTCTTCGTTTGAGTGCTTTTTCCTGCCTCTTCTGCTCCTTGTAGAATTCAGAGAAGTTATTTACAATAATGGGAATAGGTAGGGCAATAACCAGTACTCCAGCTATGCAGCATAAACCCCCCACAATCTTTCCTAGTAGAGTTTTTGGGTAGATATCACCATAGCCTACTGTGGTCATAGTAATAGTAGCCCACCAGAAAGAAGCTGGAATGCTTTTAAACTTTGTATCTTCCTCATCCTTCTCAGCAAAAAACACTAGACTGGAGAAGATCATGATGCCCATGGCCAAGAATAGGATAAGCAGGCCCAGCTCATTGTAACTCCTCTTAAGAGTGAACCCCAGCGACTGAAGACCTGTAGAGTGACGAGCAAGCTTCAGGATACGCAGGATACGCATGATCCGAAAAATCTGCACCACGCGGCGAACATTTTGAAATTGCAGTACACTCTTGTTGGATTCTGTCAGGAAGATGGTAACGTAGTAGGGCAAAATTGCTAGCAGGTCAATGACATTCAGAGGACCCTTGAAGAACTTCCACTTGCTTGGAGAGGAGAGGAAGCGGAGCAGGTACTCCATTGTAAACCAGGCAATACATACAGCTTCCACGTGGGCCAGTTGTGGGTTATCTGAGGACTGGCCAAACTCATCTGTTTCCTGCAGCTCTGGGAGGGTGTTCAGAGACAAGGCAATGGTGGATAGCACAATAAAGAGAATGGAGATGATGGCCAGTATCTGAAAGACAAATGTATAAAAGTAATATGAGTAAAGATGCAGGATCGTAGAATGAAATCAGACTAAAACATACATTAAATATCAGATACACACATAAGAATACATTTCTTAGTCTGTAAATAACACCCTACAATGAATGCAAAGTTGTTGTTTTTAAAGGGGTTCTGATTACAGTACGAAAGTGCTATCTGTAAGTCACTCCAATACACTTCCCATTTAAAAAATAACTTAAATAAATGGCTAACTGCGTGAAGTGTGTGATTACTGAGAGCTAATGGATTGGATTGACTTGGACCACTTATGTATTCATGACTCACTTAAGAGGTTTATCCACATGAGTGACTTTGCTTCAGTGGGAAGTGTTGTTGATGTTTAGCATCTAATACACACAAACAAAATCATCACAAAATACAGTACATTTGACTGTTGAAAACTATCTCCATTGTCTACAAGAGCCAGGTATTTATAACAAAAAAAGCAAAGTGTTATTTTAAGGTGGCTGAAGATTGTCAGAGATGGTGTGTAAGGGATTGCTAACATGTGCTTATTTGCATTGAAATCAAAGTTAGGCTGAAGCTGATGGAATTTCATTAGATTTCCAGCTATCCATGTTATTTTAGAGTACTGAAAACATGTTTTTTTTAACCTTGTAATGGCACCAGATGAAGAACCTTGATATCCCCAATGTTTTTACAATGTATCCTTATGAAGGAATGAATGCCTGTGCCAAATTCATGGAAATCCATCTACTAGCTGTTGAGATATTTTAGTCTCAGTGGTGGACCGGCCAACAGACTGATATTGCAATCCTTTGAGCCAAGTAAAATGCATGACTAAAACAACTTTCTAAAGATATTTTCATAAAAATCTCAGGAATTAGTCAAGTCAAATTTATGATAAATCACAACAGGTTAGGAATCGTAAATAAAGTTATATTATCATAGCCTTGAATGGGATCTTAACCACTTTCCTCTGCACTAAAATTAGCATGAATTTGCAGAGATAATCAGACAAGCCTACTGGTTTCATACAGTGCTGACCCTACTCAGTTTCCACTAAATTAGTGAATGCTATAAAACAGCAAAGTGAAAAGGCTTCAGGGCTCTGTCTGAGATCACAGAACTGGGGTTACAAAACCTTATCCTCATGATATTTTACACAGATTTCTCTCTCTAATGGGCTATTTAGAGCTAAGGGGACCATTACCTGTCCCTTGTTCCACCTGCAGTGGCACCAACACAACATCAAATGAACATGTAATAGGAGCAGCATGTCCTCAAAGTCCACTTCACTGCAGAAAGCAGAGAACTGGAAGAAAACAGTATCCTGACACATCCCGACAAGCACACACACTACCCCGTCCCCACTCCACCAATCCTGCTAACAAGCAAGTACGTGGTGGTAGACTACACCTTTTTTAACACCGTATGACAGTTTCCCTCTCATCCAGCATTCATAGTGTAAACACACAAAAAACACTGGGTTTTCTTGAAGCATATTATTTTTGTAACTTGAGCTTGTTTGATCTGAATACACTTCCTTATTCAACCGTGAGAAATACCAAAGGAAATGTTGCACGGCTATCCAGCCTCCGATCAATCCCACTTACAGCTCATACAAAGTCATAAGTCATTTTTATTTAGGGCTGGTTTGGTGATTAGGAACTGATATGTGATGCTGAAGTTAAGAACCTTTGTTTGAATGCACATGCATTGATGTCAGACAGTTTAAAGGTTAACACATAAGGTGACAATGTTTTGACATTTCATCCACTGAAATTAAAGCTAATGCTCCAATGAAGGTGAGCAGAATTTCTCTACTGAAGTATGCTCTAAAATTCAGCCTTAGTTGTGTCTTCATTATCCACTCTTAATGCACCTTAGTTGAAGGCTTCCAAAACGGACTATCAAGCAGTAAACTCAGCTAGGGTAGTTTGTCAGGTGAGCATCTGTACCTTTAGTGGACTAAGAACAGGCTTATTTTTTAACTGTATTCTTCACTTAGTTTAATCCTGAATTACTCCTAGAAACCATAGCACAGGACCAAACAGCACAACTTGGAGGATGAGTGGGAGGGTATACTGTAGCTGGAAGAAAGCCCATTTTTGCAAAAGCCCACACGAAGGACGTAATATTCTTATAAAATGAATTAAATCAGAGAAAAGTTTATTTTTAAACCTCAAAAACAATCGCAGCTTCGACAATGCAGAGTAGGTATAAGACATAATCATAAATCCTGTAGCATTAAATATACATATAATGATATAACATTTGTGTGTTTTAATTACAATTATGTAACTAGTTCTTTCTAGTCAAGCTTAATCAAAACCTCATCTATGAACTGGATCTACTGGTTAAACAGAAAACCAGTTGAGTAAACAAGCAGGAAAGCCAGCAGAGAGCACATGATGCGGGGTTTCCCTGTAAATCATCTAGAGGAAATGAAAGCACAGCAGCAGAAATGGGGCAATAGCAACGGTTGTTAGGAGGTGATTGACAACGCGGGCCTTGACAACGGCCTAATTATTCGGAGTCCACTCCCAGAAGTAAAAGTGATGGCTAAAGAGGCAACCTTATCTACGACCAATCAGAGCAGGAGGACACTGTTGCCATAGCGTCACGGCAGACATGAATAATGACCCTATCGGTTTATTTTCTTCCCCTCTGTGCTGCTCTCCTCCTGCCCTAGAGGAAATCTATTAGAATCAAACACATCAAGAGCAGAGAGCAGAGGTGCCGGGGCCGAAGAGCGAAGGTTGATCTAACGAACCTGAGGGGAAGGAGAGGGGGCAGTAAATGGAAAATGATGTTGTTAATAAAGAGGAAAATATTTGCACAAAGTAAATAATAGGTTACATTTTTATTTTTATATAGAATAGTATTAAAAGGTTCACATATTGTGTACCAGACATAACAGGATTGTATCAAATCCCAAAACTCAAAGCTGTTGGAGAACTACAGAAAAGCATGACGAAATAAAGGGCAGAGGTAATAGGATTGAGAAGCTTTACAAAGGTTACTAACGAAGTAACATCAAGGGTTATAAGGTCAAGTTCCACAAGGGAACCCTATTCATTTCCCATTGGTCTATGTCCCTAATGCCACAGCCTTGCTTGTCTTTATCTCTTTGTATCCTGGGTTGTTTTAATGTCATAGGCTGCTAATTTCATAAAACTATTTCCCTGTAAATCTGAGATAAGCCTTACAGAGCACATGTCTAGGAAAAGGTTGAATGGAGCCCAAGACATGATTCTATTGGCATCAACACAACTACAGGCTATTTATAGTCTCCCAGTGGACCCAGAGGCACATACTGTATATAACGATGGTAATAGGGGTCACACCCTAAATTATGTTCTCTAATGTCGTGCGAGTTAGGTATGATGAATACTCTATTATTGCAAGTAGATTGTATGGAAACAAGAAGTGACTCCAAGCAAATGCTCCTTGGTGGCCTACTTAAGGGGGGACAAGAAGAAAGGAAGGAGACATTTATATCTAGAGCAGAGGAAAAGACAACACGTCACACAAGAGAGAAACAGATTGACAGGAAATCCCACTGTGACACTAAACAAAGCCAGATCACACTGTTGTGTCTCTCATGGCATATTATTGTGTGGCCCAGCAGACGCTTGTTCACACAGACCCCCCATTTTCTATAGGACAAGGTGACACCAACTCTCAATAGGCTGTTTGAAAAGATATCCAGGACACAATTAATGTGAATGACCTCAAAACCACCCAAACACACACTTCCCTGTGAGGTTCTCCTCTAAGTTACATATGGGAGGGAAATTATTCCTTATAGGGGAGAGGAAACAAGACTTCAGACATGGCAGCCGTTGCACAGGGACTATTGGCTGATAACATATACATACACCAAAACAGCTCTACAGAGCTTTGTACACTTGAGGCTCATAGGGAAGAAAAACCTATTCATTTACAATTATTCCATGTTGTACTTGCTGCTGTTTGCTCTGCCACCAGCTCTCGCTCAGATATGATGGCCTGGTTTTGTGTTGGCTGTGTCCCAGCAGCGATGATTAATTTTCTTTGTGCTACATTGGGTTTTGTCAGGGTTTGTTCCATTCATCAGTCTACCGAGCACTAAACTAAAAAAGGACGGAACCGTGAACCTTTTCACGTTTTGTGGAGAAATATTTATTTTCAAAAAAGAAGAGTATTATAAAAGATGTTAAATTAAACCATTAAATTGCGGGTGTGATTGTGGGCACATAACTGATGGAATCTCGGGGACACTGAAGAATCAGCTAATTAAGATTAAAACATTCAGTGTAAAATGTATTAAACCACTAAATCCTGTTGGCATGAATTAAGCGATATCACCAGTTTCTTTTGGCCACTTGGCTGTAGACATAACATATTTTATATACAGTTGTTATTGAGAACATGCCAGCAAAAATCTACCTTCACATTATTTGGAGTGTTGTTAGTTACTGTACACCACAAATACATCCTTTTTTTTCCCAGAAATCCTTAGGCACCATTTTGGCTTTTGAGGCTTTTCAGCTTTTGAGGCTGGAAAACAAGATTGAAGTAATGGCAGGAGTGAGCAGGGTAACTGCTGAGCTAGATGATCAATTTACACACATTCACTTTCACATTATACAGTGAGACTATGTTCCTTACACTCCATGGCCGTTATGGTCCCAAGTAAAGATTGTGGTGCAATGCTTGATGCTAAAACATATTTTAGCAGAAGTAGACGTACAGAATATGGAAACTGAACAGTTAGTCAATTATTCAACAATACAACAGAAACTCAGATTTGTTATAACCAAAGTATGTGTGATCACGTGTTATTCGTATTTAGTATTTAGTGTTTTATTTGGTTCAGCCCCCTCAGGTACATCTCAGGTGGGTGCCTCACCTTGTATTACATTTGGTGGATTCTCAAGAGACAGCTGAGGAACTCCCAGACTCCCAGTGCCCCAGCCGGCACCTTCTAATTAACAGCAACGACATACGTACATGCCGCTG